TTTTGTTTTGTTTTAATCAGTGACCAACTTTGTCCAGCGAAAGTCTATCCAGGGGCTCTTGGGGTCAAATGTACTCCTAGAGCCCCATCCTGTACACCTGGGCTAATGACCTGCCAGGTAGGCCTTCCCTGATTTCCCCTGGAGCCAGCAGAGCTCAGCGCGTCCTACCTTTGCACTGAGCAGGGGGCTCTGAGAGGCAACTGGATTATGGGTCTCAGAGGGTCAGGGAGGCTGTGGGGTACCTTACCATCCTCGCTGAAGATGGGGGCCGTGTGCAGGTAGTGGGTGATGCTGGGGTCTTGTTCAAAGGGACACTCTACTTGTTTCCATGTGATGAACTCTCCAACTTGTTTGGCCAGCTCCAGAAATTTCTGCCGGGATCACAGAGACATAGAAGGAGGCGCATAAAAGTACCCAGGCACACTCAGGGCTCACACAGCAACCAGAGTCAGCTCTGACTCCTGGTGACCCTGTGTTAGATGAGAACTATACTCCCAGGTTCTCACGGGTGCAATTCTGGAAGTCAGTCACCAGGTGGCTGGAACCTCCGGTCCACCACATGGAGACCCCAGGGCTCACTAGGCCCCACCTAGGCTACAGCCTTAAGCAGGCAAAGCACATCGGGCTGGAATTGAACATGATTGTACCTTCGTTGTATTTATTTATTTTTACAGCTATCCCCTATTTATGGCAAGTGATGGCTATTCCTGATTTTTAGAATGATATATATGTATTTAAACAAATACACTTCAATACGATGGGGTGTCAACACATTTGTGGGAATGACATGAAAAGATAATGGAATTTTCCCACGAACTCTTTAAGCTCCCTCCTACATTTAGGTAAAGTTTTGTTTATGTAAATCTTACAGGCTTAATTTATTTAAATTAAAACAGATTGCAAGTCCATGTAAAGAAGGATTCGGAGTGAACAACAGTACCAAGTCAGGACTGGGTGGGGAGCTCTGCACTGGGGCATCCTCCATCAACCCTGGGGCCAGGTCCCGCCTGGCTTCTGGTCCCACTGCCCTGTTCCCTGTGTCTCCCTCTTGCCCTGAGTCTCAGGACTGATTTTGATGGGCTGTGTGTCAGGGTCCACTGGGGGACTAGATCCCAGGCCCTGTGGGCCCCTAAAGCCTCAACATGTCCCTGCAGCTTGGATTGTCCAGCCCTCCACTGGGAACACAGTGGCCTGGAGAGCCTGCCTGCCTGCCTGCCAGCTGCACGCCCAGATCTACTGGAGCTAGGTTGGGGTCTCAGCCAGCCAGTCTGCAGCACAGGGAAGTCAGCTGGGGTGTCAGTGTGAGAACCACCAGCAGAGGGCAGCTGTGGTCAGGGGTGCCAGCTTCTGGGGAGACTCCAAAACTGCTGTCAGTACCCGGCTGGTTGTGGCTGAGCCTTCTCGCCTCCTCGTTAGGCTGAGACAGAAGCTCCCTTTACAGAGGGAGAGGCAGGCTTGATCAGAGGAGGGCATAGCCCAGGGTGAGTGGGGTCTCAAACCCACCTAATTATCTTCTAAGGGGATACCAGCACTCCAGTCTACGGATTGGGAATGCCACTGTTGTTTGACAAGCACTGTCTGACTCAGGTTCCCCTGCTGCCATGACCCAGCACCCACAGGACTCCCAGGTCTCTGCCCCCCACCCTGTTGGCCCCTCCCACCGCAGGGCAACCCCGATGCCTGAGGGCTAGGTGGTGTGGGTGGGCCCATAGAGAATGGGGACACAGGGTGGTATCAGTCTGGCCTTGTTTCTGAAGAATGTGGGGAGGCAGGTGCTGGGACCCATGACACCCTGCCTGCTGATGGTGGGCTGTCCCTCCCCGGGAGGTCAAGGTCAAGGTCAAGGTGAGGGCTTCCTGGAGAGTGCCTGAGAGGGAACAGGGAGCTCTGTTCCTTCTGTCTGCTCTGCCTCCCCCTGACAAGCCCCTCCTCACTGTTCAGGGCTCTCCTCAGGAGGTCCCTGTGAGGCCCCACCCCACCACTCGCCAGTTGTCCCCAGGGGCTATGGGTGTGACTTTCCCGTCAGCCTCCTGCTCCCCTTGGGCGAAGGTGACATTGTCCTCTGCAGGTGTCAATGCTGTCTCCTGCTTGGGAGCACCCAGAGCAGACAGCTTGGGCATTCCCATGTGTGTTGCCTGTGAAGGGCTCCATCAACCGTAAATGTGGCGCCAGCCTCCGACCACCAGTGCTGCCCCGGGAGTCTCCTGGGCTCGGCTAGGGGGGTAGCAGGTTGACCAGGGCCAGCTCCTACCTCAAAGTTGACGTGTCCATTGGGGAGGCGGTTGGCACAGCCTTCATTCAGGAAGTAGATGTCTTTGATGAGCAGGCTGAAGAAGGGAATGACAATCTGCAAGGGAGATGGGTGGGTCAGCTCTCGGTTGGCCTCCCCAGGGGACAGGTGGACAGCAGGAAACAGCCTTCCCAGCACTCAGACACAGCTCAGGAGGCAGAGGGTAGGGGTGGGGGCAGAAGGGGGTGTGCTTCTTGGCAGGCTGGATGGCCTGTGGGGCTTTTCGGGCTATCTGGTCATTTATGGGCCCCAGGGGGCCGTGTGGCATCCACAGCAAGGAGTAATGGGATCGCGACTGCGTTTCCTCTCATGCCCACCAGAGGGAAGTGCTAGTCGAGCTCTTCCTGTACAGGGTGACTGACTGTAGCCTCCTGTCCAAGTGGGGAAAGTTTCAATGCACATTGCAGTGACCCTAGACCGTTTCTTTCATTGCCTAGTGGGCAAGACAGGTGGTGCCACCCCACCCACAAGTTCCCGGGCTCACGGCCCACGTGAGGCACATCGTTAAGTACACATGGGTTGTAAAACATGTGCTTCACAATGTTGTGGCCTCTCTTTTCCCCAACATTTGTCATCTCATGCCTTTCTTGATGCCGAAACTCTGCTCCTGAAGCTCTCGTGGTAAGACTCCAACTCCTCTGTTCGTCTCCTTAAGGGAAGGGCTTAGGAGCACATCAGCTGTGTTGTATCAGTCAGACACCGTGCTTCTCCTGATCCGTCTGACCACCTGCTGACCACATCCTTCTAGACAAGTGGGACTCTTGTTGCTGGCAGCACAGGCCACTTTGGGGAAAACCATCTGGGTCTACTGCCTTTGACCTCAACTCCAGAGCTGCAGCCTGGGCTCCTAGTCCAGCCAGAGCCAAACACCAGCCCTCCGTTGGAACGAGGCGCCAGGTCTTAACATTTGGTGCTCATGGTCAGGCCCCATCAATGGGACATAGGCTTTGAGGTGTCAGCCATGGACCACTCTGTGTGGCACAGAACCACAGATTGCTCTACTGGGCAGGGAAGAGGAAGGAGCTGAGGCCGAGAGAGGGGCAGCCTGGCTCAGGGCCAGGACTAGACTCAGATTAAATGGGGTGACTGAGTGCCATGGTCTTTCCAGGACTGAGAGATTTTCTGTGCCACCACTTCAGTGCCGCAACTCAACAGTCTTGGGGGAGTGGACGGAGCCCTTGTGGCTCTGTGGGATAAGCACTGGGCTGCTAATTGCAAGTTCAGGAGTTCAAATCCACCAGCAACCCATCAGAAGAAAGAAGAGGTTGACTGCTCTTGCACAGAGGACAGTCTCGGAAGCCCTGTACAGGGTCACCGTGAGTGGATCGAGTCTGTGGCCGTGGACTGAGTTGGTCCCCCTGGATTTATGTCAGTTCTGCGGACATTCGCTCAGGTCTTCTATGCTCCAGGTGCCAGGGCTGGGAGACACTGAGGCGCACCAGACAAGTTTCTGACCTCAGGGTGGGGGAGGATACAACTGTGGGAACACCTCCAAAATATGGAGGCCTCACCAAGAAGCCTTTCTTAACCCTTAGTCTGGCCCTCCCCGCCTATCGGTCCAGTGTGCCACACTGTGGAGGCGTTCATGGTTGCTACGAGGGTGGAAGCTGTTGTCATGTGCTTCAAGGACCAGCGGGGTCACCTATGGTGGACTGGCTTGAGCAGAGCTGTCAGGCATACCAGGGAGAAAGGTCTACTTTCCAAAATCAGCCAGCAGAAATCCCAGGTCTCACACTGGAATATTGACCTGTCTAATGGGAGATGAACCCATTCTAAGGCACAGTGACCCTCAGGGCAGAGTAGAACTGCTTCTTTGGGATTCTGCGACAGTATATCTTTTGTTTTTTAATCATTTTATTGGGGGCTCTTACAGCTCTTATCACAATCCATCCATCCATTGTGTCAAGCACCTTTGTATAGAATATTGCCATCATCCTTTTCAAATCATTTTCTTTCTACTTGAGCCCTTGGTATCAGCTCCTCATATTTCCCCTCCCTCTCCGACCTTCCCATACAGTAAACCTTTATGGGAACAGACAGCCTCATCTTTCTTCCACAGAGAGTTGGTGGGCTTGAACCTGTGACCTATCCATTACCAGTCCAATGCTTGATCCACAGTGCTATCAAGTTGGAAGGATAGCAACTGACCATAGGCTGAAAGAGCCCTGCTAGTGTCGTGGTGACACAGTGGGCTGTGATCTGCAGGGTCAGCAGTTCACAACCACCAGCAGCTCTGAGGGAGAAAGGCTGGGCTTCCTGTTCTTGCCAACAGTGCCGGTCTCAGAAACCCTCAGGGGACTGCTGTGAGTCAGCCTTGACTCATGGCAGTGAGTTTGGGTTTGTAGAACCACAGGCGCCGGTAGGTGCGAGTGCTCCACTTCATATGCACGTTTCGTCTGCAACACTGTCCTCTGGAGCAGGGGGGCTTATGCCCCCCATTTTCTAGGTGAGGAAATAGAGGTAGGGCTAGTATGCAGAGAGCTGGGCCCCAGGGCCCCTGTCCTGCCTGATTCCTCACTGCTGGGGGGACGGGGCCTCTATCTGTTGTCGATGTCTCCCCCCTCTACCCTGTTCTCAATTCTCCTTTAGGGCTGGGCTGGGTGGCAGGAGAGAGCACTGTGACGTGGGAGGGGCTGAGGATAGGGAGACTGCTGACCGA